TTGCTATATTGATAATTGAAATCTGTAAACGTTTAGCCTGATGCTTAAAACAAAAAAAACATCCTATTTTTTTTAATGGCTAAATGACATCAGAAACGAGGTATTTTCAACTCTTTATCGTCACTATCCGTTTGAAAAAAAAACACTCCAAAGTATTCATTTAAAGGTCACTCGAATTCCCCTATTGAAATTAACACAAACAGAATAGTTGCATAGTGATATTTTATACACCAAATGCAATTTATCCCATTCATTCTCAGCTAAACAGAATATAGAAAAAAAATTTTTTTTCACAAGAAAAAAAAACTTATGACGGTCAAACAACTTGACTGTTCTTTCTTTTATTCTAACTTTTTTTCTGTGCAGTCATGCTTGATACACCAAGAACAAATCTGCTATAGTATCCTACAAAGAATACTCGTCAAATATCCACATACGATTGATGTCAAAAAAAGTGACGTCTATCAAAAAACAAAACTTACTTTTAATACCACTTTGAGCGATCGTTGACAGCATTTATGCTATGAGCATAACTTTTTTATATGAAATTAAATGATGTTTTTTAATCAATTACTGTTCACAGTAAGGTTTCTCATTAGAAAAAAAAAAAAGCTATAATCTACAAAGGCTGTGAATATTAAGCCCTTGGTTTTTTTCGTAGAAGTTAACCAACCAACTATTCCGACCAATAATGGAAATACCAGAGACTTGAAAAGTCATTACTGCAGATGACAACGACAGCATCAGCGGACGGTTTGACAAACACTTAAAACAGAAGAACACCGCATGGATATCACTAAAATTGATTAAAGCATAAAGTCCAATGCCCTGGCTTAATAGTTGAGACTAACCTGGCTAGCTGCCAGAATTCTTGACTAATTCCATGACCAATCTGTTTCATGCTTGCGTTTGAATGAGGAGGGTATGTGTGTATGTGTGTGTCTGTGTGTTGTGTGTTCTGAGTGTATGTATATGTTTATGTGTTTGGCTGTTGGATAAAGCTTCGGGAAGTTAGACAAAACATGCTTAGTTGGGTGTTGCATTCATATTTTATTGACTCGCCTCAGTGTTTTCTTGGGTTTATTGGGGACCAATTTTTGCAGCAAAAGTAAAAATTCAGTTTTGTTTCAATTTTT